GTCCCCACAAGGATATAGAGACATAGTAGGTGTGTGTTGTTTTGAACTCACATTTCCTGCAGGTTTGCTGATGAGAGCGAGCTCAGTGGGCTGGTAGACGGAAGCACGCATCTGTCCGGTGTAATTACTGTACGGAGACACGAGCTTGTTTCCTGCAACAATCAGGAAAAAAATCTAATAAGAATGAATTTTCTCATCGCTCTGTTGGAGTTTCAGGTCCGTTTTATYGCTTTTTATCTTCTGGGTTGTAATCGCCCATCCGCTGGGAGTGAATCAACCTGGACATTTGTTTGTTTCTGACAATGAATCTTTGTTGATCTCTGTGGAAACACAAAGGACCTGATGGAATCAGAGACAAACATTGAGTCAATCATCAGTTCGAGTCAAACTCATTAACAGGAGAAACTCAGAACCTGGCTGGACTCTTCCTGCTCCTCTCAGCTGCTGTTGACTTTTCAYGATAACTCCCAGAGAAAGAGTTAATCATTGAAGGGAGCAGCCAGCCACACACACAGCAGAACTTCTTTTTCTGAATCAGCTTTGTCACGACTGACGAGAAGTTGAGTTAAATAAAGAAAATGATTTTWAAAAAAAGTGACGTTTGATTCAGGGAGGAAGCTTCATGTTGAGAAACTAAAACGTTTTGATGACAACATTTGTTCCTCACCGTCAGCTGAAACCAAAGAAACGGGTCGATCTAAAAGTTCAACTCTGAAACAAGTGGAAACAAATTCCTCAATCTGAATATTTGCAGAAACACAAACTAAACAGGAAGTTTACACAGAAAAAGACGTGAAGGTGTGTAGGTGGATGAAACGTCACCTGAGCCTGAAATAAACCTGATTAAAAACTGAACTGAAAACTCTCTGAATTTATCTGTGACTTCTTCAAAATACAACAAACTAAGTAGCAGTAAATATAATATAAAATAAGGAACACCTCATCCTGATCAGATGAACCACCTCAGCTGACTCCTTTCGATGTGGAGGAGCAGCAGCTCTACTCTGAGCTCCTCCCTGTCTCTAAGGCTGAGGGGTCATGATCCCCGCCTCATGAGGGTTTGAACATAGACAGACCAGTAAATCCAGAGCTTTGTTTTTCGAATCAACACTTTCTTCACCATGACTGACCGAAGCAACACTCTCATTACTGAGGATGAAGCTCCAATCCGTCGATCYATCTCTATCCTACCATCRCTCGTGAACAAGACACCAAGAYACTTAAACTCCTCCACTTGAAGCAGAGACTCTCCCTCGACCCGAGGGGGACATTCCACTRTTTTCCAGACTTTCATCCCATTCGTGAACCGCCCCAGTGCACGCTGAAGATCTTGGTCCGAAGACGCCAGCAGAACCACATCATCTGCATACAGCAGAGATGRCACCCTGTGGCTCCCAAACCAGACCCCCTCCTCTCCTTGACTTGAGATCGTGCCAGAAACACTACAAACAGGATCAGAGACCAGGGACAGCCCTGGAGTCCAACCACACTGAGAACAAGCTCGACTTTATGCCAAGACCTCAGACACAGCTCCTGCTTTGGTTCTACAGGGACTGGATGGCTCCTAAAAGCAACCCAGACACTCCATACTACCGCAACACCCCCCTACAGAATGCTTTAAGGGCCACGGTCATAAACCTTCTCTACGTCCACAAAACACATGAGACCGGAGAGGCAAACTCCCATGACCCCCTTAATCTGGTTGACTGGTCTACACTCAGGACGAAAGCCACTCTGCACCTCCTGAATCCGAGGTTTGACAATCAATTAGAGCCTCCCTTCCATCACCCTGGAGTAATCCCAGAGTGTGATTCATAGTTAGAACTCACTCTCCGGTCCCCCTCTTTAAAAATGGGAACCACCACCCTGGTCTGCCACTCCACAGGAGTTGTCCCACTCCTCCATGCGATGTTGAAGAAACGTGTCAACCATGACAGCCCCACAACATCCAGAGCCTTCAGCATCTCAGGGCGAACCTCATCGAATCTCATCCACCCCTGGCGTCCTGCCACCGAGGAGCTTTTTGACTACCTCACTGACCTCTGCCATGGTAATGGACTCGTCTTCCCCACGAGTCTTCAGACTCTACCTCCTCAAAGGTGGACATGGAGGGTAGATTGAGGAGATCCTCGACACCCGCTTCGGATGTTATCATCCATGAAATGGACGTTATTAGGCGTTATCAGTCCCCTAGAATGGCTTCAGAATGTCCCGCCTGTGCCGGTTAGCAGGTTCCCCGTCCCATAGAATGGCTTCCGATTGTCAGCTGGTTAATATGAGGCATAAAACCACTATCTGGTTAATAGGAGGCATAAAAAAACTGGTTAATATGAGGCTTAAAGCCACTAAGGTTAACTTTAGAGTAAATTACATGGTTAGCGCTAAAGACACCGCCCTCCAACGGTTGTATATTGTGGCCTTCCAATAGGGCAATGGGTAGAGTGTCAGGCCAAAGAGAAGGAGACCAGGGTTTGTGACCGACACGGACACAAAAATTTAATTACAATATCTTTTGGTTATTTACACATTCATTGTCATTGATATATTAACCCACTAGGGGGYACTGTCKGAACAGTGTGAAGCCTAGAAGGCACAGTAGGGACCCTCTGAAGCCATTGTATRGGACTGATAACGCCTAATAACGTCCATTTCGTGGACTGATAACATCAGAATCCCCTGTCCTCGAAGTGTTCCTTCCACCGCCCAACGATATCCTCAGTCCGGGTCAGCAGTTCCCCGCCCAACGATATCCTCAGTCCGGGTCAGCAGTTCCCCACCCAAGCCAAGTACTCTACAGTCTGGGACAGGGAACGCTTTCCTTTCCTCGAGTTAGTGAACGATTTGACAGAACTTCCTCCCATGCCCGAGTTTTTGCATCTGCAGCCACTCTGTACCTGTCAGCTAAAGTGTTGAATTTATTTAACCAACAGTAATAGTTACGATTAAAAAAAATACTTGGTAAAAAAAAAAACAGATCCTGAAAAACATGACTAAAGTACTGTAACAAAGTGAATGTACTTCCTAACAGTACTTATCTGGAAACAGAAAACCAACAACACAACTGAAAATGTTCTTGTTTTCCTAATGGCTCCATCTAATATATACAAATATTAATAAATGATATCTGTTCTGGATTTCAGGAGCCATAAAACGACATTTCTTCATGATCAATGAGTCTGTGAGCMGAGCTGCAGTGGATCAGATTCAGTCTGCTCATCATGCAGACGGGGAAAAAGCCTCCTCAGGACATTTTTTTCTAACCTTTCGCCGTAAAACGCAGTCATCAGAACAAAGAGGTCTGATTAAACAGCCGAAGGAGCTGAGGGTGTGACCCGAGCCGTGTGTCACAGCCAGAAACTCCCTCCTCGTTTAAACAGAAACTTTTCAAACCTGATCAAATATTTGTTTTATCGGAAACATTAAAACGGCTCCGGTCAGATGAAAGAGAAAACTTCCTGTATTTATCTTCTGACTAAAGAACCCAACTTCATCAAATAAGTCATTTTTTCCTCATTTTTCTCAGATTTAATTTAATTTAACGACTTGTCCCATTTAAACACCTCAAGGCAGGTGCTTCCTAACAACACGTTACGAAAATCTTCCTGTTTTGGTCATTATCTCGAGACACAGCTTGTTTTCCTGCAGGGATCACATCATATGTTTAGCTGCTGTCTCATTAAAGGACATCTACGACCACATCCAGGTGTCAGGACAGCGATACCGAACCATAAAACTGGGCGGAACACGAGAACCACTCATCTCTGCTCCATTACCAGCTTTGTTGCCTCCAGATAAAACCAGCCTGGATATGTGGAGATAACAGAATAATCTCACAACATGTTGAACAAACGTGACCCATCCCATCAATCCCAGGATTTAGTCCCAAAGTGGTAGAAATAGGCAGATGTGGTGTTTTGAGATTGCAATAATTGCATTTTGTCAAAACATAATGAATCAATGCATCATTTGAAAACATTTTCCGAAATACAATTTTAAACAACATTTTCTGAAGCACCTTCTTGAGCAGTAGCAACAAAAATTCTGATTTTGAGCAAAAGCTGTAATCTGTAATTTCCCCTTAGGATCAATCGATTTATTGTTCGTTCGTTCAGAAACACCTTAATTTTTTAAATATTTTTCAGCTTTTTTTCCATTCCATCTGGGAAATCTGAATATCCAAATACTATTTGAGGTTTCCTCTTTAAAATGACATCAAAAATACCTCATTAGAAAAACCTAAAAATAAGATTCAGACCAAATATTAATGTAATATCCTGATTAACAAGACAAATGAAGTTACATCTTTTGAACTGCTCATATCAGGATTATCAAAATATCAAAATGTAGCTTAAAAAACAGGAATCTAAATATCTTACGATGTCATTTTGACCAAATTTGACTTGATGCTCGGTTTGATGTGATAAGTCACATAGTTTGGGTATGAGGCACCAAGTGTAAAAAAAAATGTTTAAAAAATGTCACATTGTTATTATTTAGCTCAGTGTGTAAAATCCAAATTTTAATTCCACTATCATTTTTATTATTATTTAGCTGTTTACTGTTCTTACATTTTGCATTTTTTACTAAATGACCATATGTGTAAATGTTAAATCCTAAATCTAAATGTGTAAATATCAATGTAAAAGTTAAACGTTGTGGTTAAATGTTAAAGTTTACATTTAAGTGTTTCAGAATGGACCGCAGCCTTTGCCGTTAGTGTTCAGCTGTTGTTGTGATGTCATCATCCTGCAACTAAAGTAACCACTAACTATGCTAATGCTGCTACACTGCTAACGCTGCTAACACTGCTAAGACTGCTAACACTGCTAAAGCGGCTAATGTTGCTAATGCTGCTAACCCCGCTAATGCTGCTAACACTGCTAATGCTGCGAAAGCGGCTAATATGCTTCTAACGCTACTAACGCTGCTGAAGATGGCATTTAAACTTTAAATTCAAACTGTCTTCATTGAAAACACCATAGCCTCGTTCATAAGACAGCTCAGTCCAGGACTGACGTGTGTTCTGTCCTCCAAGCATTCAGAAAAAGCACAAAGGAGAAAAGGCGAGTAAAGTGAGCCCGCCTCTGATGCCCCTCTGAGCCCCCATGTGAGGTAGTATCAGAGTCGGGCTTAAGGCGGGCCGAACGACTTGTGAAAAACAAACTGTGGTTCCRCGCTCAGAAAATGATAATGAGCTGATGACATCAGTGAGCGACCGCAGGATTAATCAACAGATTTATCATGGAGGACTATTAAAGATGACACAGAAAAGCAAATTTGTAGATATTTAAAAAAATATTTAATCACATGCAGGATCAAAGTTAGGTAGTTAGTTTTGTTTGATACGATGCAGCAGACTTCATCACACAATAAATTAGTCCAGCTAAGATCTGCACCATGCCYCTTTTGGTTCCGTGTTGCTGGGTTCATTTCTGAACGCTAAGTGTGACCGGGACCTGGTCAGCTTCTCCTGTGATTTTACAAAAGACCCGAGAGGGATTGAAGCCGGACCGGTCCGTGCGGTGATTTCACGGAASTGTCTTGTGAAAGAGGCTAACATGAACGGTACCTGTGGTCCAGCAGTTTGAAATGCAGCTCAAGTTCAGCTCAAAACACCGACCGCAACTGCAAGTTTGTTGTCTTGTAGGAAAGTGTTAGCTACGTTAGCGGTTGCTTTTGTCGCAGGATGATGATGTCATAACAAGAGCTGAGCACCAACAGCAAAGGCTGCGTTCCATTCTTAAACACTTCAATGTAGACTTCAACATTTAAGATATTAATTTTAGATTTAAACATTTAGATTGAGGATTTAACATTTACACATATTATTTAAGATTTAAATGTAACGTTTAGTAAAAATGAGCAAATTGTAAGAGCAGCGAGGTAAATATGAATAAAATTTCAGTGGAAATTTTTAACAATCAGAAAGTGARCTGAATAATGCAAATGTGTTGCTGACATCTTTTAACGTTTTTATTTTACACCTGGCGCTCGATATTTGGGATCCAGGCAGCTTCGTGGTAAACAGAACTGCTCGGTGTTTGAAGCGTTACGTACCATTGCTGGACTCGTCCATGGAGAACGCCTTGTTTTCCACGTAGGCRTTGTGAGCGCCCTGCTGCTTCAGGATGGTCTCGTAGCCGACTCCGTGGTTGGTGTAGCCGTTGTCCACGCTGTCTTCTTCACTGTCTGYGCTGCTGTTCAGGCAGCAGACCAGCGGGATGACGTAGACGATGATGAACACCCAGGCGTTCGCCACCAAGGCGATGGCCAGGGTGGGGTCGTCCCACGTCGGCTTCTTCACTTGCCCGTTCCCGTACACGTACATGACGATCCACGCAACCCAGACGGCCACGGAGAGTAAAGTGATCACAAGTATCAGGGCCCCTTCCTTCTTCCACTCTGAATACTTGCCCCCCATGATGGTCAGACTCCCCAGAACCACAGCGAGGATGAGTGTCATCACGTAGATCAGCGCCATCACAAAGTCCTGGTTGGCAATGTTGCAGGGTACCGCCACGGCTCTGGGGGGTTCCACCGTTGCATTGAGTGGTCCTTGAGGGTGGCGTACGACCGTAATGATCAACCACTCTGTGTTGACGATCACCTCCACCAGCCACAGCCCCAACGCACCCAGACACAGGATCCAGGTCCGCGGGCCGCTGTTCCTCCTCGCCAGGATGTTCAGCCTCACGCACTGCATCAGGAGGCAGGAGAAGCAGCCCCCGAACAGAACCCCGAAGAGGAACCGCCGCGAGGCGCAGGTGGAGAAGTCCTTCCCCACGATGAAGGCGAACGTCAGGCTGAAGAGGCCCATGGTGCAGAACAGGAAGCTGGCCTGGAGCGCCATCGCGCTCCGGTGGTTCGGGTTCTGGACGAACGGCAGGCTGGCCAGCAGCGAGATGAGGAGGACGAAGGAGAAGACGACTCCGGCTGCAGCCAGGGCCTCCAACACGACGCCCCACGCAGCACCCAGGTCACACAGGTTGAAGTAGACCGAGTCCAGGTTAGCCCCGCAGCCCTGAGGGGTCCCGTTGGAGGCCATGTTGTTGGATCAGAACCTGCTCGGACAAACAGGGAGCGACTGAGTGGGACAAAGACTCATCTGCAGAAACACCCAGCAGAGTAAAGATCACACCTCCACGAGTCAACAAACACAAGAAATCATATCTGATCTGAAATATGGAACAAAAACATCACATTTATTTAAAACTGAGRAGAAGGATCATGAGTTGTCAGGGCTGCTCCTGGATGTTCAGCTTTCTAAATCTCACAAATTAAATAGTTTTGTCTTTGATATTATGTTTTATCTTAATAAACCAGGTTATCTAACTAAAAAAATTAACAATTTATCAAATTTGAAACAGAATACCAGGACCTCATACCTGCCAACACCTGCTGACATCATGAGGAACACCTGTTCATGTTAACCAGCAGCTGTGGACTGAAGCAGTTCTAGGGGGATCCAGGGTTTCTAAAAGATCTACTCAAAACGGCCTTTTCCATGCATTTGAAGAGCATTTTACTAAAATCTTGGGATTAATAAAACATRAAATCAGTAATTTATGAACAAAACACTGAAAACCAGACGTTACSCTGAACTTTCTCTGAGATCAGAACTGGAACTTCCAATTTCCTGATTTTGTTTTCTGTTTCCACATTGAGCACCGGCAGTTAGTCTGACTGCATCATATGATACTTTTATCATGAAACATCCTCTGTGCCAGATGACACCTCATGTAAGAACAAAGCAGTTACCTTCATGAACCTGAGGAACCAGGGATTATTCTACAGATTAAATCAACTAAACGCTGATATAAAGTTAGRAAATGTGTTTCGTGGCGGCCCCTGTAGATGGACAGAGCTCTTAGCGTTTGCCTATAAGGCCATTGCCACGGCTGGCCCCGAGTCGTTAACAAACRTGAATGTCTAACTCAGAGATGTAGGTTCAGTTTGGAGYGGTAGTAGCTGAAACTGATCCCCAACACAGACTTTGAGCTCAATCTTTACCTGAAACAGCTGTTTTAAATGGTGACGTCGTCCCTGTTTGTTMGGAAAATATCTCATCAACCACTGGAACCACTCTGATTCAACTGATATTCTGTTATTCACACAACGTTCAACTGTTAGAAACTAATTATTTTTCAAATGATTTGTAATAAAATAAAATAGTGACTGAAGCGTCGAGCTGTCGTCCTTCTGCCGAGCCTACGTCTCCATCAGATCCRGTTACACTGAACCGGGACCAGTCCTGGATCGATCAGAGCCCGGTCAGTCTTTATGAACCTGGTTATTTAATCGCACCGTAAATCTTTCTACAGAGACACGAGTCTGAGTCCAGCAGCCGAGATCTGGTCTGASTTTCTTCAGCTCAGACGGTTCCTCTGAGCTTAAAACTCTGCAGCACGAAGAGCTGAAGGACCACCGTCTTCATCGCATCGCTGATGTGTCTGAAATACAAGGCTGCTTTCCAAACCAGCACCAGGACCTTCAAATATTTAACAGACCTCATCCAGACAACATTTACAAAGATTAGATCAGGGGTGGGCAATCCTGGTCCTCGAGGGTCKCAGCCCTGCWTGTTTTACTTGYTTCTCTGCTCCAACACACCTGATTTGAATGAACAGATGATTATCGGGCTTCTTGCAGTACGGAGGGCCGAAACCGACATAATTAGAAATAAAAGCAGAATTATATAAAAGAACCACTAAATAAATACATTTGAAATGCACCAATTGAAATAACAAAGGAGAACTTTATCTCATGTTTTTTGTTTGAAATGACTTTAATATTTATTTTTCCAGGTTAGTATAAATTAAGTATATGAATTTTAACACATAATTTAAATTTGAATGTTTTTTAAAATACATATTTTTTGTTTTTTCCTTTTACTCCTACATGCATTTGTGTCTCTTAAATGTTTATACTTAATTATTTTTATATTTTTCCCACAAGGCTTTTTTATTTCTATGTGTTGCAGGCGTGTGCTGCCTCAGTTTAGCTTAAAGTTTAGTTTAAAACAAAGGCAAGGAGAAAAACTTACTGTGCATTTGTTTTTAACTAAACGTTAAACTTTAAGCTGAACTGAGGCAGCACACGCCTGCAACACATAGAAATAAAAAAGACTTGTGGGACAAAACTATAAAAATATTTCAATTTAAACATTTAAGAGACCAAAGTGTGTACAAGTAAAAGGGAAAACTGAAAAATATACATTTTAAAAAAACAGTCAAATTTGAATTGTTTAAAAAAATATCAATTAAACGAGAATTAAATTACAAAACATGAGGTGAAGTTCTTTTTTAATTGAATTGGTGCATTTTAAGTGTATTTATTTATTTAGTGGTTCATTTATATATTTCTGCTTTTATTTATAATTATGTCAGTGTCGGTCCTCCATACTGCAGAACTTAGACGGTAAATCAGTGTCTGAATCAGGTGTTGGAGCAGGAAAAACATAAAACATGTCGGGCTGCGGCCCTCCAGGACCAGGATTGCCCACCCCTGGATTAGATAAAGAAGAAGATAATTAAAGGGAAACATGGAGCTGGGGATTTTCTTTATAAACAAAAGAAAAATAGCTAAAATAATCAATAAAACTACTCAAAGTAGGCGTTATTTGCAGGGGGGTTATGACCCCCAGAATAATTTGATCCAGTCAATATAAACCCCCCTTCCCACAATAAAATGACATCATTTGCTCTAACACAATCGAAATGAACTGGTTAAGTACACAGATGCAACTCTCTTGTTGCCTTTAGGTAACWTTGACTTGAGTAGAAAATTTACGATGTCATATATTTATGTTTAAGGATAATTGCTGAAAATTACATGCAGGGTTTTCGAGCACAACCCCCCCAGTGGTGGACCCAAAGTTACGCCCTTGACTCAACGCCAAAACAAATCAATGAAAAACACTCCAAAAGTGGGAAAATACATTGTATTAACATATTATTAAATTTGGAAAATTTGATTTACGATTTTTTGTCATTCACAACTTTTTTCTTTGTGCCACAAAAACTAAAAATATTGATGTTCCCTTCAGCTTTGAGAAGTCTCAGTGTTTTATTGATGTTGCCTCATTTTAAAGCTGAAATGATCCAAACTCAGCTTCACTAAAGCTTCTAACAACATAAAACCCAGTTTCACATCTAAACTGATGCACAGAATAAAAACAACTTAAAATAATCTAAGTTATTCTGATAAACACGTCTAATACTAAAGATTAATGAAGAAAGAAATGTAATTTTTAAAATTAAAGGTTAAAAATCTGACTTAAGAATCACTTTGAAATAAAATAATCTAACTGTAAAAGTATGMATTTAGTTCGTATTGATTAAAAATTAACATTTAGATTTTTTTTTCATCAGACCAAAACAGCTGTTTAGTTTCTGATCACAAAGAAAAAAACAAAAAACTGTTAAAATAAACTTTAAAATCTGAGTAAAACATCAAGTAAAAACATGAAATAAACCCAGATGTTTTCAGGTGAGTCTTACCTGGATGTTGTTGGCAGATTTCACCTCCGAGCTTCAAGCTTCACCTGCGACAAAACGCGCCGCAGACACGGACATAATCGTCCGCGGGAGAAAGTAGTCCGACAGTGAGACGCGCACTGATACACGCCGAGCAGTGATGGGAAAACAGGGATACAAATTTTAATCCGTGTGTCGTTTTGCCCCTCCCCGCGCGCACGCGCGCACGCATTGTTTTGATTCCCGTCGAGGAAATAAAATCAAACAGGAAACATCCTCACACACGAATTCTGTCAACAGAAATTTGCATTTTTCTCGTTAAATCTGATGATATTATAATAATGATTCACTTCATCAGATCCAGAGATGATTTACAGCAGATCAAACGCTCTCCTTTGAATAAACCTGACTGGAAACAGTTTTAAAGTTTTTACAAACCTCTGTAGCGCCCTCTGGTGGCGGAAATGAAAACCGCAGCATGCGATAAAACCGGACAAGTGTTTAAAAAAATCCTAAAAATTACAATTTAGAATCACCAGATATTAATTTTTTTTATTATTACAAAAAAAGTAGAGTTATGTGAAGACTAAAGAGCTAATTAATCGTTTCATAGCATTCACATAAACTCAATTAATTTAATGAATCTAATGCATTTGAGCTGTTTTCTAAAAAAACTGTTTTGTCTAAACATATCGGGTTTTCAGGTAATTGTAAATACGTTTCATCACATATATTACCTTTATTTTACTACATTGTGTTCGTTTTCTTTAGGTTACATGATATTTGGATCACACATGCTTTTACTAAACTAAATGATTTTTAATCCTTTGGTTCAGTGTTAAACCAGCAGGTGGCGCTGTGATTTTACCTTAAATTTATTCAACTGGCACTTTGATCAAAAACAGTTTGTAATAACATAAATCAGGTTCAGCTGAGTAAATGTATAAAATAATGTGTCTTTGTTGACTTTCGTTACAATTTCATTAAAATTTTTCTCTCATGAGGAAAGTTTATTCATTTATCTCTATTCTTCTGTTTTCTAATTTGTTTGTTGTTTATTACACAAGATTCATGTTCTGAATGAATACAGTTATTCATGTAACAAAAAAACATGGTATTTTCCTGAGCAATTAAACCAAATGATAAATAAAATTAAAAGAAACATTTATAATCCCATCAAATTATTAACTTAGTTCACAGGATGTTGGAAAACAAGTTGTGGTTCAGAACAAAAATAAATTGAACTTTTCTGTGATCAGATTTCTGTAAAACTAACCTGTTTTTTTTCATCTAATTTTACTTCAACTTTAGATTTTTATTAAACCTTTATTTTTTTTACAGCATTTGTTATGTTTAAAGACTGAACCAAACATTTCTTGTTCATTTTGACTTATTTACTCCACAGATATGAATCATTTTTAGGTAGTTTTTCTGGAAATACACTAAATAATAAAGCATTTTGTCTGAAAAAAGAAAACAAGGAAAACAACAAAGTGAAAGACTTTTCTTCAGTCTGATTCTGTCTTGATTTAGWTTTATTGTTTTTCTGTAACTTGTTTTGTTTCCTGGTTTATTGCAGTGATGTTCTGCTCTTTTAGTTTTGTTTTCTGGCAGATTTTTGTTGTTTTTCCTCTTTAACATGCATCTGGTCTACTATATTAATTAGTTTATTTATTTATTGGTTTATTAATTTATTAATTAATTAGTGTATTTTTATCTATCTGATTCTGTTTCCTGGACTTGGAGCCATTAAATCTGTTTAGAAATGTTTTCAGAAGAGTTTCTCCTGCAGCTAAAAGAATAAAAATAAATCTTTTTTGCTGAAAATTGGATTTAAAACCTGAAGCCGAGTCTTTTCTTCAGAGCTGATGTCAGAAATCTTATCTGGATTGGATCAGATTTAATGGGATTAAAATATTCTGCTTCTGGAGCCTGATTTCCAGCATGTTGGAGACAAACTGAGTGAACTTCCTGTTTCTCTTCACTCTGAAGGCTTTTCTTGTTGCATTTCACGCTCCGTGACGCCTGCTGTTTGAACAGGCTCAGAGGACAGGTGGTGGACATGAGGACGTGTTGCTGAGGGGGCTTCACCTGCTCTCCAACCCCCACCTGACCCACAGAACCTGACAGCAGCAGCAGCATCAGATCAGGCTGTTTTACCAGCAGATAAATGTTTGTTCTGTGGTCTCTTCCCCACCCTGCTGCTCCTGAACCCCCTCCTCTCCAACTCTCAGAGAACCGCTTCATATCTGAACTGGACCAGAACAGGTTGCAAAAGAACTCAMTTAAAACAGCATTAAAAGCTGTTAATAAAATCTAACATGTTTCCACTTCTAAATGTTAAATTAACGTCAATGAAAAGGTTTTTAAACTAGTGTTTGCATTGTCAGARAGATTAACAGCTTAAAGGTCCTCGTTTGGCTGCAGATAATATTTTCAGTGTCGTYTCCAGAATGTTCCTGAAACTGSACCTCCAGGGRCGGTTCTAGKGGTGAGGCCACAGGGGCATCGGCCCCATCTGAAATYTGATTGGCCCCCTGAAGTGCCCCGGTCCTTTCACTCATCTGTCCTTGCCCAAGAACAATGATGGTGGCTGCAGTTCCACTTCCAACCACTAGTGGCGCCAGTGTGTCAAATAGGAAAGTCCAACATGAAGCAAGCTTACAGAGGTCTTTTTTGATTTGAACAATCTTGCAGAAAAAAAGTTTTTTTTTTCTTGATCAGTGACACCAAAACAAAAGTTTATCTACGATGGCTAGATTTTATAAAGTTGTGTGTTTAAGAGTATTTTATTTATGTACAGTAAAAAAAATCATGTAAAATTAATGAGGAGAATTCACTGTGCAAGCTTTTACAAGTGTTTGAACACATGTAACTGATTAAATGTATAAACCTTTCAAAAACTGGGGATTTGTGTGCAAGGATGTTGGAAAAATGCTTGGCCCCTCTATGGTTRTTGTGGCCCCTTGATGGCCCCTTTCTCTGAAAAATCCTMGATCTGCCACCGTGGACCTCAGATTTGTTTTAGACAGTGTGTACGTGAACTCTTAGCGATTTCAACCCAGATTTTGTGTAAATGTGTCATTCAGTGTAATTCTGAGCACAAATGTGATTAATTTTTTTTCTCAGTTCTTTTTTCCAAAAATCACTGTCCAGTTTAGTTCTGGCTTCAAATGTCTTTTTATTTGTTAAGTGTTCAGCTGAATAACCAGAACAAACTATTTTAAACATTGGAGGTGTTTTTCTGTACCCCAGATCACTGAAAAGACGTTTAATTTTAATGTTAAAACTAAGCTTCAGTCCCTGAGAATTATGGATCAAACTAATGTTGTAAGCTCAGTTTGTCGCCCAAAGAAGCACAAAATAAAACTGCAGGGATGTTTCCAAAATGAGAATTTATTTCAAGACATAAAAACTCACATTTAAAATCTGAACAGTGTGAGGCACCAAGTTTAAAATAAAATATTTAAAAATGTCACCAACACATTTTCATTATTTAGCTGCTTAAATATTTTTCACTAACATATATCTCACTGTTCTTACATTTTGATAATTCTTGCTAAATGCTAGGTTTAAATGTTAAATAATTTATGTAAATAATAAATTTAAAATCTATATATGTAAATGAAAAAGTTAAATGTTTAAATTTTAAGTTTACATTTAAGTATTTCAGAATGCTGCCTTTGCTGTTGGTGCGTGGCTCTTGTTATGACATCATCATCCTGAGACGCGGCTAATGTTGACAAAGCTGCTATCGTTGCTAATGCCGCAAATGCTGCTGCTGATGCTAATGCTGCTAACATTGCTAATGCTGCTAATGGTACTAGCTCAGCTATCATTGCTAACACTGCTAGCACTGCTAACGCTGCTAACACTGGTGACGCTGCTAATGCTGCTAACGCTGCTAACGCTGCTAATGCTTTCCTACAAGACATAAAACTTGCAGTTATGGCTGGTGTCCAAGCTGTTCTTCAAACTGCCAGACCAGAAGTGCCATCAATATTTTTTTAATGAACACAATTTGAATTTGAGTTTTTAATACCATCTTGAGCAACATTAGCAACATTAGCAACATTAGCAGCATTAGCAGTGTTAGCAGTTGCTTTTGTTTTAAGAGGATGACGTCACCGCCTGAGCCCAGCACCAACAGCAAAGGCTGTGTTCCATTATGAAATACTCAAATGTAAACATTATGATTTAGCTGCATTATTTAATATTTAACTTTTACATTTAGATTCATGATATAACTTTTAAGATTTAAATGTAAAAAAAAGTAGCAAAATGTAAGAACAGTGAGTTAAATAATGAAAATGTGTTAGAGACATTTAAACCTTGTATTTTACTCTTGTCGCCTCATAAAACAGAGCACCGGTGATGCATGAAGGATAAAACATTTGAGCTCTTACATCATGCATGTTCAGGTAATGAAGTCGAACTGATGCAGTTTTTTTTTAAAGAGGCCTCACTGATTCAGTGATGGTGAAAGTAGATCTGGACTTTCTGACCCTCCGTGTTCCTGCATGCGTGCGAGCGTGGAGCTGCAGCCGAGGGGCTGTTTGAAGAGCAGCGTCTTCACATTTACAGCTCCAACGAGTTGCATTTCATCAGAAAATCAACACTCGGCAGCTGTGGTTTGTTCCTGAGAGCAGAGCTCTGCTGCGCCGACACGCAGGGAGGATTTTATCAGGTTTAACAACATGCTAACAAGTTTCCCTCCTGCTCACTTTGATGCAGAATTTATGGCTTATTTTTTTTCTTGAGCTGTAGACTTAAAAAACGTGTTCACCCTGCTCTCATGTACGGAGAAAAGAAAACAYTGTTTTTTATTCAGTTAAATTCTTTTCAGAACAAATAAATACTCAGTCGTCKTAGTTGATTTACACAAACAAACAGCAGAGAAGACATGAGAGTTGGGCTCGTTTCAGGCCCCGTGAGAGCGCCCCGGGCCCCGCTGGCTGCCGTCCACAGCCGTGCCTGGAACACAGAGTCCATCCCCCGGGTCCGAGGAGCGGGAGGACCGTGGGACGACCGTGGGACGACGGGTGTTTTGGATTAATGAAAGGAGGGAGGGACACGGGGTCACGAGGGCTTTCTGGTCCTGCGAGGTGACAAGGGGGTGGAGTCTCGCTGCCAGCGCTTGTTGTTCCCGCTGTACAGTGAGGAGTTGGAGGCGTTGGGGGCTTGGTGTTGGGGCGGGGCCCGGCGGGAGTCCGGGGGGCCCCCCCGGAGCAACACAATGTCCCGCACGACGCTGCGGAATGGCCTGCTGACGAAGCAGTACAGGAAGAAGTTGACGGCGGTGTTGAGCATGGCGAGCATGTTGGACAGGTCGTAGGCCAGGTGGACGCGCCAGTCCCTGTGCACGGAGGACACGTACAGGTGGTAGATGACCACCACGGTTCTGGGAGCCCACAGGACGGAGAAGACTGAGGTCAGGGCCAGGAGCATGGCCGTGGTCTTCCCAAACCTCCGCGGCGGTCCGCGCTCCTCCTGGCGGGGCCGCTGCCTCCGCCTCAGGGTGTGGATTATCAACGAGTTCAGGACCAGGAAGACGCCGCAGGGCACGAAGTAGATGATGGTGACGTGCGTCCATATGAGGACAGTGTCCATCGCCGTGGGGGGGTGGCTGTTCCTCCACATGTCGGACCACCAGAAGAAGGGCACGCCCGACGCCAGCGCCAGCGCCAGCACGGCCGCGATGATCCTCCGGGCGCGGGCCGGGTAGCTGATCTGCCGGTGGAGCAGGGGGTGACACAGCGCCACGTAGCGGTCCACGGTGAGGGGCACGGTGGACCAGATGGAGGCGTGGTTGGCGGCGAACTCCGCGGCGCTGACGGCGCGCAGCAGGAGCTGGGGCACGTCGCGGTGGAAGACCGCCGTCTCCAGCAGGAAGCCGACGAAGATGATGAAGAGCTGGGAGAGGATRTCTGAGCCCGTCACGGCCAGCAGGTAATAGTACAACGCCTTCTTGGTGCGGGACGCCAGCCGGGACAAGGCCACCGCCGTCAGGATGTTTACTGACAACAAAGACACACAATCATGGCTTTAATGATGGCAAACAACTAATCTGGGAGGAGTCAAAGGTCAAATCCAAACTCTCTGGAGTCCCTCGTCCTGCAGAGAGAAAAATCATTTAAATGAGATCAACTTCCCAGGAGTGGAGGTCCCTGCAGATTCACCCCAAAGGTCAGACCGTGCAATGATCAGAGAAATTAGCTCTCTACAGGCCTCAGTTAGAACGACAAATGTTAAAGGTCATGACTGGATAATTAGAAACAAACTAAAGTTTGGTTTGTTTGGAAGGGTTGCACAAACAACACAACGACACAACGAATGGAAAGTTTCATCTGTAGCAGGTGTGTCAAACTCAGATACACAAGGAGACCAAAACTCAGAACTTGGTCCAAACCAAGGGCCAGTTTCTGTCGATATTTATGAAAGAAATGTTATTTAACAAGTTATTCTTATAGAAATATGAATAACTTTTTTTAAAATTATGTTTTTTGTTTTATGTAGAACAGACCAAACCTAATGGATACAGAAAAAAAAAGATTTGATTTGGAGAAATGTGTCATCARAAAATAAATAAATAAATAAAAACACCCTGACATTTAAAGTATTAGCTTTGGGTCCAGATAAAATGCGAATGGGGGTCCGATTTGGCCCGCGGGCTTTGAGTTTGACACGTCGGCTCTAAAGAGACCACAAGACTTATGGAACAAAACCRGACCAAAGTAGAGATGTGTACCCAGAATGCACTGCAGCGTGTTTGGAGAAAACTAAACACAACAAATCAATAGAAACAGCTCCGCCCAGATGTCAGCTGGTGGTGCAGGGCTGATCCAGGGCCGGCCCTGAACAATGTGGTGCCCTGGGCAAGATTTCATGTGGTGCCAATATAAAACATTCACATCCCAAATTAAACAGTTGTCCAACTGAAATATTTAACAACATATAAATAATTTGAAACAGAAAATCAGCAGTCCTCCTCATACCTGYCAACATCTGTTGACATCAGGAGGAACATGTTACCAGCAGATGTGGAGTGAAGCAGTTCTAGGGGGGGTCCAAGGGTAAACTTCCCCAGAAAATTAGTAAAAGAGCTCCGCAGTTTTTAGTCATATGATGAGCACTAATTTTAAAACGACATAAAATCAGTATTTCATGAAGGCAGAAGACTGAAAACCAGACTTAAACCTGAACTTTATCTGATCTGTTACAGGTCACCTCCATAAACCTGAGGAAGCAGGGATTATTCTACAGACTAAATCAACTAGACTCATAAAAAGTTGCTAAATATGTTTTTTGTGTCCCAC